GCCCGCTTATTTGCGGGTTTAATATATTTTCCCAAATCTGGCCTATAGTGAGATGATTTGGGCTCGACCCACGGTTGTTGACCTATTTTGACTGCTTTAATTCCCATGATTCGTCTAATTTTTGAATTCTAAAACACAAAATTCTATTTTGTAAATCATAATTAATACGATTGGTTATATTATAAACAATTTAATATTTTCTTTACAATTTGTTATTAGGAATATTTATAAGTACATTACACGATTCGTTCTACTAAAAACACGCACAATATTAAAATCAACGTATGTAAATCAATATTCTCCCGCGGTGGACCGCAGGTCCGATCCTAGTATTGTATTAAACACTAAACACAACAAACAATATTAACAAAACAAATACAATTTAAAATTTAAACTTTTTAGTTATAAAAAATGACCCGTAGTGTAGGGTGGGATAAAATCTGGAGTGAGAAACTTGGTGGGCAAGTCACTTCCTCTGTATTAATGGGGAGCGTTTAGGTGGAGAAGATCATCAATTCTTCAATTAGGATTTTTTTTTTTTCCCTTTCTAATTCTCTAGCTTTCCCCTAACGACACATAATTAATGTCTCTGCTTATCAACCAGCCCTCGAAGCTACTATGCTTTGGGAGGAAACGACCTGTGTTGGTAAGATCATCTCCACTTCTCAATAATAGCTTCTCATCTTCCTTCCCGAAATATTTACCTTGTATTTTGATCCTCGCTGATCCTTGTGGAGGGGGTCGTGGAAGAGCCCTGACTAGGTGGCATAATGGTGGTCCCAAGCTTACTTTGGAAGAGATTCGAAAGAAGTTAGATAATGGTCTAAAGTTGTGTAGGGAGTTGGATAAGGAATTGGGAACAATAGGATCATCCAATGGATGGCTACCTACTTTGAAGGAAGGTGTGTTGGCTCTCCGAGACATGAATCTAAATCCGAAACGCATTTCGCTGCCTCCTCTTGTAGCTCTTCCTCATTGCCAAACCCAATATGTCACCAACGTGGCCATGTTCTCATCTTCTCCTGAGGATGAAGACTGTGTTGTGGCTGTCAAGTTCTTGGGACCTCAAATCAGCTTTTGCAGACCGGCTCAAAGTAACCCCGAGTGGATCAACATCAGAATCGAAAACCCCTGCTTCTTCTCCTCCCCTGTCATATTTTCAAAGAAAGAAGACATGTTTCGCATAGTCGGCTCTGGAGGCCACCTCATCGGATCATGGGATCTCCACAAACCTAGCAAGAACCCCAAGTTGCAAAGCTTGCGGTGACCATGACCAAACAAGACCTTCTGGATTCGTGCTACACAAGCGAACACTTGGTGGAGTCAAGAACCACCGGTGAAACTTTCTTATTTAAGGTGTATAAGATAACCACAATGATCG